CGAAGGCTGGCCCACTATCTCACTCACTTTTCACATAGTGCTGGAATCTGGCTAGCAAGCAGATCAGACAGGAAAGTGGAATTAAAGGTATCCAAGTAGGGCAGAAGGAGATCAAACCTTCCTTTTCTGGCTGATGACTATGATATTTATAATTTAGAAAACCCAAAGATTCAACCAAGAAACTCCTGGAACTTGATCAATGAATTTAGTATAAGCTCAGGAATTACAAAATCATACACAGAAATCAGAGGGCATTTATATACGCCAACCAACAATCAAATTGAGAACCAAATTAAAGGCTCAGATTTCCCTTCACAATAGCAACAAAGAAATTAAAGTACCTAGGAATATACTTTAATCAAGGAGGTAACAGAGCCTATACAGGGAAACTATGAAACCCCACTGGAGAAGGAAATAGCAAGAGGATGTAAAACAGATGCAAATCCATTCCATGCTTGTGGATCGGCAGGCTCAAGCAACATTACAATGTCTATACTACCCAAACTGATCTACAGATTCAATGCAATACCTATTAAATCCCATCAGCATTCTTCCATCAGATATGAAAAAATTAATTTAACGTTCGTATGGGAACCAAAAGACCCCGAATATCAAGAGGCAATTATGGGAACAAACAAAAGGAGGTTATTAATATGCCAGGTATCAAACGATACTATAAAGCTGTAGTAATTAAAACAATCTGGTATTGGCACAAAAATAGAAATATTGACTAGTGGAACAGATCTGAGAATCCTGATATAAAACCATCCTTAGATAGCCATCTAATCTTGGACAAAGCAGGACAAAAAACATATGCTGAGGAAAAGAATCCCCTTTCCAATAAATTGGTGCTGAGGAAAAACTGGACTAGCCACTTGTAGAAGCCTAAAGCAGGACCCACACCTTTCACCTCTCACAAAATCAACTCCAGCTGATAACAGACTTAAACCTAAGGTTATGAAACTATTAGAATTCTAGAGAAAAAGTTGGAACCACTCTCCTAGACATCGGCCCTAGGCAAAGGAGTTTAAATGAAGAAGGTCCCCAAAGGCAATCACAGCTGCACAAAAACAAATAAATGGACATGATCAAACTAAAAAGCTTCTGTACCAGCAAAGAAACAGCATGAACAGTAAACAGACAACCTACAGAATGGGAGAAAATTTTGCATCCTATGCATCCGAGTAAGGGGATGATAACTAGAATATCTTAAGAACTCACGAAAAATCAGCAAAAAAAACAAATTAACCCTATTAAAAAGTGGCAAAGGACTGAAAGAAACTTCTAAAGAAGAGACAGAAGAATTGGCCAACAAACATATGAAAAAAAGCTCAACATCCTAATCATCCAGGAAATGCAAAATCAAAACCACAATGAGATATCACTTAACTCAGTGAAATTGCCTCTTATCAAAAAGTCTACAAATAACAAATGCTGTTGGACTGCAAACTAGTCAACCTCTGTGGAAAAAAGAATTATGAGATGCTTAAATAGTGATACAAGTGATCTACATTTGATCAGCAATCCCATTCTGGGTCATCTACCCAAAAGATCAATGACACTCTATAAAAAAGACACCGGACGTCGAATTTGATAGCAGCACAATTCATAATTGCCAAGGCTGTGGAAACCATAGTCCATCACCCCCCCCCCCCCCCCCCCCCCCCCATCCAAGAATGGATAATAAAATGTTGTATATGTATACCATGGAGTACTATTCAGCTCTAAGAAAAACAACGGTGACATAGCACATCTTATATTTTCCTGGTTAGAGCTGGAACCCATACTACTAAGTGAAGTATCCCAAGAATGGAAAAACAAGCACCACATATACTCACCAGCAAACTGGTATTAACTGGTATTAACTGAGCAGCATCTAACGTGGACACATGGTACTGGCAGAAATTAGGTATTGGACAGGGGGGAGGGGGGAGGGGGGCGGGTATATACATACATAATGAGTGAGAAGTGCACCATCTGGGGGATGGTCATGCTGGAAACTCAGACTTGTGGGGGGAGGAGAGGAAAGGGCATTTATTGAAACCTTAAAATCTGTACCCCCATAATATGCCAAAATAAAAAAAAAGAGAGAGAACATATATGAAGAGGAAAAGAAAATGAAAACAAATGAACAAAGGAACGCACTCACTCTAAGTTGCTTAGTGCAGAGTTTAGATGTTGATACCTCTGTATCCTTAACACATAACCCAGTGCCTTTGTGCATTTTATATCTTCCATATACATCTGATGGTGCTGACGATGATTATGCCGACAATGATGATGGCAATGGTGTTGATAAATGAAGTACTATCATGATTCTGCAATTACCAATGACTATTCTCCTGCAAACATACATAGGCAGAATGCATCTACTTTCTCCTGCTGGCTGTAATATTCCCACTAGCACGGACACTAGTCTTAGGGCCTCAAGGCAGTCTGGTTGCCACTGTACTACTCTATGATGTAGAAACTTTATCAAGGACCACATGAATATAGGTGCCTTAGTCACGTTTTTATCTCCTCAGTTGAAGTCGTAGAATTTCTACTGCTCTGCATAAAGAAGAGAATAACTCTTCAGAGTCATTATTTTCACTGTTCTATGCAGATAGTAGTTCACATGTATATAAGCATGATTAAGACAGATGAAGATTATCAGTTTTAAGAAAACTTTTTATTATCTGATGACGAATTATTTCTGTTTTGTTTCTTTGTGATTAAAAATCTAAAACTTCAGTTCAACATGAAGAACTAATATGATTACATTTGTGTGTGTGTGTATATATTTATATATTTAGGTATTTTATGCCTAAAAATATAGCTCCAAAGTTCATGAAACAAATGCTTACAAAATTAATGTGAAAGGCATATTAATCTATAATCATAGTTGGCCTTTTAAAGACATTTCTTTGAGGTACTGGTGACAGATGAAAATAAAAGTTTCAGGAATATGGCAGTCTTGTATAGCATCCTTAACCAATTTCATTAATTGGAAAATAGAAAACTACAATCAAGAGGTGCAAAAAACATATTCATACAATATATCTGTTGACCCTTTACCAAAATAAACTACATCCACAAGTATTTGGAAACTAATCAGAAAATTTATAAAAAACCAATGAGTCAAACAGGATCCAAATGATGATTTAGAAATTATTTTGAACCAATTTAGAGTCAAGATACAGCACCTCAGAACATACAGGAATGGATAACTATATAAAATGATGGATATGGTAATTTGTTTTATTATAGTAAAAATTTTTCTATATTTGTATCTTATAATATCATATTGTATACCTTAAATACACATAACAAAATTTCTCTTAAAATATAGGATATTTTTTGGTAATGCTAACAGGGAATTTTATAGTTCCTTCGTAATTCTGAGTATTTATCAGAAAGTATGAAAGTTTGAAAATAAATGAATTAAGCTTCTTTGCCTGAAGGACACACAAAGCACAACACACATGCCTATACATACAGAAACTCAAGTAAATTGAGGCAAAGAAGTAATACAGATAAGACCATAAATCAATAAAATATAAAGTATACAACAGGGCATACAGTTATTTCTTTGAATGGTGGTGAGTGAATTGACAATGCATCTGGAAAATATAAACTTTGACCCTAATCTCAAATACTATGCAAAAATTAATTTCAGATGGGTCATAGACAACACAAATGTGATAGATGAAATAAGTTGTGAGAAGAAAACATAGGAAAATACCTTTATCAACTTTGGGTAGCAAAGATTTCTTAAACAGGATACCAGAAGTTCTAGTCATAAAGAAAAGATTGATAGATAGACTTTATGAACATTGAGAAATTGAGTTCATCAAAACACACCATCAGGGAGTGGAAAGCTAATCCACACACTGAGAAAAGATATATATATGTATGCACACACACACACATATATATATAAGACATAATTAAAAAGTGACAATCTAATACAAATGGACAAAGTCCAGGCAAGATAGGGAAGTCTTCATCATCAGTCATCAGGAAAATGCAAATTTATATCACAATGTGCTACCATCTATGTTCATCATAATGGCTAAATTAAAGTAATTCAGAATAGTTAATATTTGCACATACTAGTGCCTTCTATTAGTACATAGAGATTGTAGTAATATGCGCCAATATGGAATGACTAAAGCTCTTACACTTGATGATTGCAATGTATAGTGGTACACCCACTCTGGATTATTGTTTGGTAGGTTACTATAGAGAGATGTACACATGCTTTAAACCCAGGAACTCATAACAGTCTCCAAGTGGGAAAATCCACAATTCATAAGAAGCAATATGGGTAAATAACTTATGGTATATTCATATAAAGGAAAATGACCTATGACAAAACCCCCCACAAATTACAGCTATGCAAAACAAAAGTGGTGAATTTCCCATATAGAAAAGGTATATATATAATATAGAATGATTCACTTTATACAAAATTCAAGAATAGCCAAATGCAATCCACGGCAATAGAGGTAAGAATATTTTGTGCTTTTAGACAAGAATTAACTTGGGGAAAGGAAAACATGAGAGATGATTCAGGAATGCTGAAATGTGCTTGTCTAAGTAATGGTTATATGGTTTTATGGATTCGTAATGGTTTTTTGGATTGATCTAGATATACACTTCAGAAAAAGGCATTTTTTGTGCATTTTCCTTTATTTAAATGTTCTGTCAACAAAGAGTTAAAAAGTAAAAAGTCTAAATATATTTTGTGACAAAACTTCGTATGATGATAATATCCAGTGACGAACTTCGTGCTGGAATGTGATGTTCATAACTTCGGACTATGTAGTTAGGTCCCACTGAGTCTTCTGATAATATTAGGCCATCTTAACATGTGACACTTAAAAACATACACTTTGATATCTTTTCCTCTTATGTGTTAATATGCCATCCACAATGCTGCTACTAATTTTTTTGGAAGAAGAAATGTATTTTCATAACTAATCTTTTAAAATTAATCATCACCAAATGGAGCTTACCTCACAAAGCCCAGGTAGAGGACTATCATTCGCAGTCTGGGTGCATGGAACAAGCAAAAAATTGATGCTTGGCTCCGGGCTGCATCCAACTCCTCCTGCATGGCGGATCTCAGAAACTTCAACAACAAAAATAACAAGCATTTATGAGATATCAATATGCCAAGCTCAGTGCTAACTACTAGAGGATGAGCTAGACACATTGTCCACTATCCTCAAGGAAATTTCTGTCTAGTGGGGAATATGATAGATATCCTTGGCCTTATTCAATGGCTGGTCAATTCAGGCATATGAAAGCCAGGCTTCCTTGCTGCAAGGCAGAGAAATTCTGTTGGGCAATTCTAGCATTAGAGTTCCCTGCAAGATCTTCTCGGCCTGTCTTGCAACTGCATGATGCCTTGACCTTTTTTTTGGTCCAATCCTATACTCTCACTTCTGATAGATAATGTTCCTGTCAACACTCCCCAGTGAAATGAAGCTCCTGCACACAAATCTCTGATTTCCCACTTCCCGAGGAACTGAAGCTTCAACCATTGCTGCTGGCTGGGGGTAGGGAAAGGTGTTGATGCTACAATGAGAATTTGGAACTACATCATCTGATGAATATCTCATAACTGGTATTACTTAGAGCATGCAGTTGTGATATAAGTATTAAAAATTTCACTGGTGGTGAACAGGGATGGATTAGTTACAGAACAGTATGTATCAGCATGTGTGTGATCTCAGAATTATGAAGGTTTCAAGAAAAATAATAACTAGAAGGACATTAGAATTGGGTGGCTATTGCAAGGGGCCGTCAGTGCATTGAGGACAGATAACAGAAAACTGATAGTGATTGACAACCAATATAAAGTGACATTATGAAATCCAGAGGGTGCAGATAGTGAGCCGCTTATAAAGAGACCCTCATCTCCTGAGGGAGAAGGCAGAAAAACTGAAGATCAAGTCCCAGGACTCAATGTTAAGAGTACCTTCAGGAAAGCCTAAAAACCTGAACCTTGGCTGGTCTCCTTTGCCAAGTTCATGGCCCTGACTGAGAGAAAGTAGAACTTATGATGGGATGGGTACATATGAGTTGATGCATATGATCATGTTGAATCTCCACATTCTTTTTGTACTTCTTGGGCTGAAAGAGTAGGTCACTTCTCTCTCTTAAAAGCTAGTGTTCTTGCCTTGTTGAAAGATATTGCAGAAGTTTATATTTGCAAGAAAATACCTGCCTCCTCCCACCATGATCTATCACCTTTGGCCTCCTATTAGACCAATAACTAAAGAAAAAATATAATCTGTAGAACTCCATGGCATATGTATACCGAATTTTATTAACCCATTCATGTATTGCCATTAAATTGGTATTAACTGATCAACACCATGTGCACATAGAGTAGTAACACTCATCAGGTGTCAGGCTGGTGGGAGGGACGGGGGAGGGGTGGGTATATTCACTTCTAATGGGTGCGGTGCACACTGTCTGGGGGATGGATAGACTTGAAGCTCTGACTCAGGTGGGGCAAAGACAATATACGTAACCTAAACATTTGTACCCCAGTATATGCTGAAATTAAAAATAAATAAATAAAAATAGTTTATATATATATACAATCTGGCTGGGGAAGTGTTTTGTCTGTTGGGGTAAGAAAAAGCCTGTATGCACAAAGTGCACAATTTCTAAGCTGATCTACGCTGGCAGGAAGGTATATATGGGAATAGATTCTAAGATCAAAGTGGACAGAATATACAGTAGGATGGAGGAGAAGTTTTTTCAAATGAAAACTGGTTGGTAATTTTGAAAGCTAGCCCCAGATTATCCCCACTTCCTGTTATTCATACTTGTGCGTAATCTCCTCTTCTTGAGTGTGGGGTGGATATAGTGACTTGCTGCTAATGAATAGAATTACAGCAAAAGTGGTGAGCTGCTACTTCCATGGGCAGATCATAAAGACTGTGATTTCCAGCGGTGCTGGATGCCCTCTCCGGCTGTACATCTTAAACACTGTGTCATGTTGGGAGGCTCCATGGGACAGGAAATGAGATCCTTAGTCCAACCGTTATCTGAAAGGAACTTCATCCTTCCAACAACCATGTGAGTGAGCTTGAAAGTATTAATACATCCTTCTCTAGTGGAGACTTCAGGTGATCTCACAGTCCCAGCAAATACCTTGATTGCAGACTTGGAAAGACTGTCAAGTAGAGAATTCATGAAACACTGCACGGATTCCTGTTTTATGCTATTATGTTTTGGGGTAATTTGTACCACAGCAACAGATAACTCATTCTAATGTTAGTACTTGGAATAGAGTGCTACTGTAACAAATAGTTAAACATTGGGACTTGATTTGGAATTGGCGGTGGGAGGGGGCTGGTGGGATTTTTAGAGACTGTGATAGAGAAAGCATATATTGCCTTGAACAATTGTAGTAAAAATCTAAACCTTGAGAGCAGGGTGCTTTTGAGGGTCCAATAGGGAGTCAGAAACATGCTACTAAAAACTGGAAGATGAGGAGTGCTTCTTATGTAGTGGTAGAAATTTAACAATATTGTCATGTGCATTCATGTGGAAAATAGGACATGTGTTCAGTGAACTTGATTATCTAGCTAAGCTGATTTGCAATCAAGGTGTTGAAGAATCCTCTCGATTTCTTCTTCCTGCTAGTAACAAAAGCAAGAGGAACAAGGTAAACAGACGAAAATTTTTAGACAAAGGTATAACAAGGGTAATGGCCCGAAAAAGGGAAAAATGTTTTGTGTCTCTCTAAAAACTCCCCTCTCTTTTGGGAATTACAACCTGCATCCCTGCCTCAGGACTGTGGTCAGGAGGGGCAGGGAAGTGTCCTTTGTTCTTGGTACCACAGGAGGTGGCCCAAGGGATCTGTCCAGGTGGAGGTCACCAGATCGTGTTAGCTGGAGATGGGATAAATCAGAACCATCAAGTATAGTTGAAAAGCAATAGCCTTAAGCTGAAAACGTCCCCTTTAAAAGCTCTGTATTTCTGCTCAGAGGCAGGAATTTGGGACTTCAAGATGGGAGTCTGCCAACCCCCTCATTGTAGGCAAATTAATAAACTTATCTGTCAGTCTCCTCAGACCACTTGTCCTCGGTCTTCTGATGCAGCCTCAGAGACAAGTGCCTGAATTTGGTAACAAAAGGAACTAGGAGCTCTCAGCCTCTCCAAATGGCAAATGCCACTAACACTAAGAAATGGCTTTGACTGCATTTCTGGTAATTTGTTATGGCAACAATTGGAAACTAATACACTCCATATCTTCTTTCCTTTCAAAACAGAGGGAGAAGGGTAGATTGTATGGGGCAAAGGAAAAGGAAAAGAAAATTCAATAGATAATCATTTCAATCTATGTGAGCTTCAACAAAGAAACAATATGCTTTTGTAAATCATAATTTTCCTATTGAAGATAATGTGTGCCTGTTATATTAATAGAAAGTTGAAAGTGCAGAAAAGAAAAAGAAGAAAAATAAACAGCTATTGCTGACATTATAAAAAAAAAAAAAAAAGATGGCTTTGGAGCAAGGTCAGGAAAACACGCTAGAGATAAAGTCCAGTGTGCGACTACACAAAGTTTCTCAAGATCTCAGAAAGATCAAAGGGTCAGTATAATTTTCAGAAAGGGCCCTTCAAACACATTAAGGATGTGACTCTCAATCGAACAAGAGGGCCTCTAGGATACTTATGTGCACTCTCAGCAGGAGCCCATGCTAGAGAAGAGCTTATGTCAAAGATGTTATTGTGAATTGCAAGTTTTGTCCGACGAAATGAACCCCAGTGAGATTCACAGGGCTCCACAATGTTTTATAGAAGTCTTGGTGAAAATAAACACTGCCAACTTGACTGCAAGTGACAGAAAGACTGTGCAGTCCCCAATACACCCCTGGCAGAAGCTGGCTGAGAACCCTATTCTGCTGCACACAGGCTGTGTCTTTCATGAAAGAGGAAAGACAAGAGTTTGGACTCAGGAGGCAAGAGGCTTTAGCTGAGAGTGAAGTTGCTTTCCTTTTCTATGGCCTGAGGCCTACTCAAGGCACTTCTAACATGTGCCTAGCTGGATTTTATGTTTTATATGATAATGGTCTCTTAATTGCTATATTCCATAGTAAAATGTATGTTCCTTGAGGGCAGAGTATCTGACTTACTCTCTGATTAATATCTGTCTCCAGACTGGCGCAATGTATGTACTTTTTTGAAGGAATGAAAGAGTGCTAAAATGAACCACAGCAGTATCTGGCTTCCAGCCATGTGGAGGCAAACTTCCAAAAAAAAAAAAAAATCTCAGTTTTCCTACTTAGACACATTAGTACCCTCTAATGAGGACAATGTAAATGTCAAAAAAGGGACTTTAATCTATTTTACTGACATAGCATATTCACATTGTATAGAATGGTATTTCACTTATATTTGATGCTCAATCAACATTTATCGAGTTAGTGAATTAATGCATAAAATTAAAATCAAACTTTTAAATCTTTCTTCTGCATGGTTAATTCCCTTTCCTTCATTGGCTTTCTTATGTCCCCTGGAAGGCATAAGAGTTACTGAATAGTGGGAAATGAACTGTGTGCTCATTTCTTTCCCCTCCATGTCTAGGTGAAGAGCATGAAAACATGATGGCCAATTTGTTCTAACAATTATGTGTGCTTCTGCCAGTGAATATGCACACAAGTACACATAACTGAATTATATGAACTCCTGTGATATCTATGTCCAAATACTCACAAAAGACAAAAGAGATGATGGTTTTTTCAATGCTCACCCTGACCCCCAATGATGAGTTGGTGGGCAATCAGGACAGAGATGTAAGGTCCCACCCACAGAATCCTAATTCTAGAAGTGTAGCCACCCCAGGAACCCAGACTAGTGTGATTGTAAGGTCATGTTTTCATTTCCTTCTCATGACCAGCTCCCCTTTTCAGATCACCTCAATGGTCAGGATCTCTCCAGCATTCTTTTTTCCATTTATGCGTGCAGCTCTTCTAAGTTCCTTTAAGCCCTTATCTAGCTGATTGTAGGTAATCAGCCACCGAGCAGACTCCACAAGCCACCTGATAAAAGAAGACAATGCAGGTACAGTAAAGAATTGTTTATTTGTCACATAACCTTTAACCTGAGATTCTGTTTCCCTTCCATTTAATAAACAGACTTTATAAATTGCAGTAGAGTCATTTCTAACCAAGTCACCCTCCTACATTGGACTCCTAAGGAGAAAGGTGTATGTGGACAGCAGTAAGTGTATGTTGAAGTATTTATAGAGAAAAGTGAAAATGAACATATATAAATCATTCATTTACATTCCTACTTTTTACTATTAATAATATATAATTTATATACCATAAAATTAATCTTTCTTTCATTAATAGTTTTGTTTTTTTTTTTTTTTTTTTGAGACAGAGTCTCGCTTTGTTGTCCAGGCTAGAGTGAGTGCCGTGGCGTCAGCCTAGCTCACAGCAACATCAAACTCCTGGGCTCGAGTGATCCTTCTGCCTCAGCCTCCCGAGTAGCTGGGACTACAGGCATGTGCCACCATGCCCGGCTAATTTTTTCTATATATATCAGTTGGCCAATTAATTTCTTTCTATTTATAGTAGAGACGGGGTCTCGCTCTTGCTCAGGCTGGTTTTGAACTCCTGACCTTGAGCAATCCGCCCGCCTCGGCCTCCCAAGAGCTAGGATTACAGGCGTGAGCCACAGCGCCCGGCCTCATTAATAGTTTTTTAATTTCAGGATATTACAGGAGTACAAATGTTTAGATTACATATATTGCCTTTGCCCCACAAGAGTCAGAGCTTCAAGCATGTCCGTCCCACAGATATTGTGCACCACACCCATTAGGTGTGTATAGCCCCAGCCCCTCCTCCCCCCTCCCCCCTTCCCGACACTCAGTGAATGTAATTACTATATGTACACTTAGGTGTTGGTCAGTTAAGTCAGTTAATACCAGTTTGATGATTAGTTCATGTGGTGCTTGTTTTTCGATTATTGTGATACTTCACTTAGTAGAATGGGTTCCAGGTCTATCCAGGATAATACAAGAGGTATTAGATCCCCATTGTTTTTTGTGGCTGGGTAGAACTCCATGGCATATATATGCCACATTTTATTAATCCACTCATGTATTGATGAGCACTTGGGTTGTTTCCGCATCTTTGCCATTGTGAATTGTGCTGCTATAAACATTCTAGTGCAGATGTCTTTTTTATAGAATGTCTCTTTTCCCCCTCTGGTAGATACCCAGTAGTGGGACTGCTGGATCAAATGGTAGTTCTACTTGTACCTCTTTAAGGTATCTCCATATTGCTTTCCCCAGAGGTTGCACTAGTTTGCAGTCCCACCAGAAGTGTATGAGTGTTCCTATCTCTCTGCAGCCACGCAAACAGTTATTGTTTGGGGACTTTTTGATAAAAGCCATTGTCACTGGAATTAAGTGATATCTCATTGTGGTTTTGATATGCATTTCCCTGATGATTAGAGATTTTGAGCATTTTTTCATATGTTTGTTGGCCATTATTCTGTCTTCTTTTGCAAAGTCTCTGTTCATGTCCTTTGTCCATTTTTTATAGGGTTGTTTGATTTTTTTTCTTGGCGATTTTCCTAAGTTCTATATAGATTCTAGTTATCAGCAAAATTAACCTTTCTTAAAGGACACAATTTAATTGTTTTAAACATAATCAAAAGATTCTTCAGACATCACCACTACCTAATTACAGAACATTTTCATCATCCTGAAGAAATTCCCATCACATTCACTCCCATTACTTCTTCCCTGCAGCCCATGTCAACCATTTATTTTCTGTCTGTATGGACTTTTCCATACTGACTACTTTCCAAAATCAAACTTTTAAATCCTTCTTCTGCATGAAATCATTCAAAATGCGATAATTTGTGTCATTCTATGAGCCAAATATCACCCTGATTTAAAAGTCAGACAAAAACACAAAAAGAAAATTATAGAACCATATCCTTTACAAACTTTGATGGAAAAATCCACAAAATAAGACTAACAAACCAATTCAGCAGCATATTGAGGGGATTATACACCATGCTTAAGTGGCATTCATCCTGGATTGCAATAATGTTTCAACATACAAAAATCCATCACCATAATACATGACATTGTTATTAATATAATAAATGAGAACTCCACACGGTCATCTAATTCATACAGAAAAAGAAAATTTAATACCTTTTTATGATAAAAAAAACACTTAAAAGCCAGGAATAGAAGGAACCCACCGAAAATCCACAGTGAACACCATACTCGTTGATCAAAGAATAATAGCTTTTACTCCAAGATCAGGAACAAGTCAAGGATACCCACTTGCATTATTTCTATTCAATATTGTATTGAAAATTCTAACTAGAGTGATTAGTCAAGGAAAATAAAAGGCATCTATGTTGAGAATAAAGAAGTAAAATTATCTCTATTTGCAGATGATATGAAGTCATATGTAGGGGAATTCTAAAGATTCTACACAAAAAAAGAAACTGTTACCACTAACAAATGATTTGGGCAAAGTAGCAAAATACATAGTCAATATGTAAAAATCAGTTGCATTTCTATATAATAACAATGAACAGAGTGAAAAGGAAATTGCAAAAACCAATTTCATCTATTATAGCATGAACAACAATAAAAGATTTATAAATTAACTTAACCAAGGTGTTTATAGACTTGCAGAATTAAAGATACAAAATACTACTAAAAGAAATCAAAGAAGACAAAACAAACAGAAACAGAAATACATTTTACATTTTTGGATTGAAAGACTTAATATTGCTAATATGTCAATACTATTCAAAGCAATCTACACATGCAATCCCTATGAAAATTCCCATGACGTTTTTTCTAAAACACCAATCTTAAAATGCACACGGAATCTCAAGGGACCCCAAATAGCCAAAACAATCTTGCAAAAGAAGAACAATGTTGGAGGACTCACGCTTCCTAAATTCAAAACTTATTCCAAAGCTACAGTAATAAAAACAGTGTGGTACTATCAATGGATAGAGTAGGGAGGCTAGAAATAAACCCTAACCTACATGGCCAAATGATATTTGACAAGAATATTAATGGGGCTGAACAGCCATTTCAACAAATGGTGCTGGAAAAACAGCACATATACATGCAAAGAATGGAAGGGGACCCTTGTCAAACACCATATTCAGAATTAACTAAAACTGGATCAAAGATGTAAATCTAAGACCTAAACTTATAAAAATTTTAGGAGAAGACATGGGGCAAATGTTCTTGACATGTTATTTGGCCAGGATCTCTTAGATATGACAGAAAAGGCACAGGCAACAACAGAAATACTAGGCAAATTTGGATTCATGAAAAATTGTTAAATTTTTGCTTTACATAAGACTATCAACAAAGTAAAAAGACAACCCACAGAGTGGCAAAAAATATTTACAAATCATATGTTTCATAAAAGATTAAAATCTAGAATATATAGAGAACTACTAAAACTGAAACAACAGCAAGAACAACAAAGACCAACCCAATTCAAAAATGGGCAAAGGATTGAATAGACATTTCTCCAAAACAGATATACAAGCACTTGAAAAGATACTAACTGAAACACAGTTTTGCCAGATGTAGAATTCCTTATGGACAGATTTTTCTTTCAACACTTAGAATATCTAATCCCACTGACTTCCAGTCTCCATGTTTTCTGATGAGAAATTAGCTATTAATTTTATTGAGGATCTCTTGTCCATGATGAGCTGTTTCTCTTTTGATGGTTTGAACAATCTGTCTTTGGATTTTGGTAGTTAGATTACGCTATGCCTAAGTGTGGATCTTTTGAGTTGATCTATTTGGAGTTTTTGAGTTTCTTGGATGTATGGATAAATGTTTCCAATACATTTGATTTTAGGGGGCCATTGTGTCTTTAAAAATACTTTCTTCCTATTTCTCTAACCTAGCCTTCTGGGACTCCTCTAATGTATATGTTGATACAACTGATAAGGTCCCACAACTCTATAAGGCTCTCCTCATTTTTTGTAATTCATTTGTTTCTGTGCATTAAACTGGATAAACTCAATAATCTAGCTTCATATTCACTGCTTATTTTCTGCCTACTCAAATCTGCTGTTTAGACCATCCAGTGAATTTTTCACTTCTTACATTTCAGCTCTAGAGTCTCAATTTGGCCCCTTTTAAATATTTCTATCTTCACCCATGTTCTCTATTTGGAAACATCTTTTTTTATATTTTCCATTAGTTCTGTACATATGGGGTTTTAAAAAAAAACAAACTCTTGAACATATTTTAAAAACAGATTCACAGTCCTCATATAATAAGGCACCATCTGCCTTTCCTCAGGTATAGTTTGTACTGATGAGCTTTTCTTCCTGTGTAGGAAGCGTACTTTCTTATTTCCTTTCATGGCTCATAACTTTGTTGAAAACTGCACCTTTAAACAATAAAATATAACAACGCCGGAAATGAGATTCATTCCTCTTTCAGAGTGTTTGTTGTTGTTGGTACTGCTTGTAGGGATTGTTTATTTGGGTAGTGGATTTTTGTGAAATAATTCTGTAAAATCTGTATTTTTCATGGGTGGCCTCTGAAGTCTCTGATTGGATAGCTTAGTGGTCAGCTAATGAATTAATTGTCTTCAACCAATAAATTTCCCAGTCTCTATTGAGAGGCTGTGGGTATGTCTCAGGACATGCCTTCAATGTTCAGCCATGTAGTTTACAATTCTGCCTTAGCCTCCACTCACTGTGTATGCAGAGCCTCAAGATCACCCAGAGGTGAGGGCTCAGGGCCTTCTCAGAACTTTCATGAGCATGCATACAGCCATGGACATGCACATGACCTTCCAGACAACCAGTAATGTGTTGAAGCTTTCCAAAACCATTACAGATACCGTTGACCCTTGAACAATACAGTTTTTTTTTTTTTTTTTTTTTTTTGAGACAGAGTCTCGCTTTGTTGCCCAGGCTAGAGTGAGTGCCGTGGCGTCAGCCTGGCTCACAGCAACCTCAAACTCCTGGGCTCAAGGGATCCTCCTGCCTCAGCCTCCCGAGTAGCTGG